TTTGTAGACATAGATGTGCCAATATGATAAGTAGTGGCGTGTTGTATTTATGGCCCATTTTTTAGTCGATGGGGCACTCACCTGGCTGACGTTGGTGGAGTTCTATAGAGCCATTCAGTGGTCATTGCCGCGAAAATAACGGTGTGTATTTGACGTTGTGGTGCAGTAGTGCACGGGGCCATGTAATGGCCGATATGAGGATTGTGGTTGCTGTTGGGGCAGACCCTTGGGATGCAGTGAAGGTGTGCATGTGTGGTCCTAGTGGATCAGTGTTTGATGAGATGTGTGACAGAGATGGGGTAGATTGAGAGGGTGTATGGGTGTGGCGTAGGGATTACCAGAATGGTGTCGAGTTAGTAAGGTGTTATAGTTAAAACAAAGTGGTAGAGTGCAGTTCTGTTATGTGGTTGAAGAACGAAGGGCTAACGGTAAGGGGTTAGGTGGGATTAGGAGGGAGTAGTGTTGTCATTTAATAGTTATAAAGGGAGGAAAACAGAATGATAGAAATAAGAGAAATGATAGTAGACAGGGAGGTCATTTAATTGTCATTCATTACTTTTAGTTCCAAATTTCATCTTATTGGGTTATACATATTTATTACTTTCATTTCAGATACTTTGATACGGGAACCGAAAATAGAGAGCTTAGCACCGGAGCACCGGATTTAAAAGTAACAAGATGTTATCAATCATGATGAGACATAGTAATATGCTCATAATATCGAAACAATGTTTAAACTTCTATGTGTATGGTGATAGAAGAGTTTATTTGATTATAGAGTTATTCATCGTACGAGAATTAATTTCTTTTTAAAATAATAGATATGTGTGATTTGGTTGGATAATTATAAATATATTATTTAGGGTAGATGAATGAATAGTGTATAATCTATAGTGAAAACCATTTGGGGGTTTCACATATCGTGTGTTGATGATATAGTGTTTACGTGACATTTGTTTAAATACATTAGTGAATATATGTTGATAGCGTTAGTGATGTTAATAGATAATAATCAGCAATTGTAATAACTGGGTTTTTGAGTTGTAAAAAAATAATAATAATAATATATATATATATATGTATGGAATAATGAGAGGGGTGATAAGGAACGGTGCAAATTATAAGATGGGAATGGATGGCTAAGATGATTAGCAAGTGGGATATAAATAGGATAAAGAGTATAAAACAAAAAAAAAACAGGAGAACAGGAAGGGAAAAGAGGAGATTGTTGATAGAAGATTTGCGAGAGAGAGAGAGAGAGAGAGAGAGCCGGAGAAGGAAGAGATGATAAAAGAGGAAATGAGGATTTGATCGAGGACGGGAGAGAAAAGTGGAGAAGGAAGAGATGATTAAGGCGACTGAATGAGCTGTGGTGGTGCGGAGGGTGATGGAGACCGGAGGTATTGTGAATTTGAATTTCAAACATAGAAATGGTAAATTATAGTTAAACTATTACATGGAGATGCATATCGGTGGATTGAACTCTAACCGAGAGTGAGAGGATCAACAGAGAGGAGCTGTATAAGGGGAAGGACTCGTAGAGAGTCGGCAGAGGAGTGAATAGGGAGGGGAAGAACAAATAGGTGAAAGCGTGGTGAAATAATATAGAATATACGAATGGGAATGCAAAAGAGGAAACTAGATAGCTTTATATATCAGTGTATATGTATATATGTATATATATATAAATATATGTATATGAGGGTCAATAGAGGGAGAGGAAGTCAAATTAATGTAGGAATTGGGGTAAAAAATGTGGAAACGTGTAGGTGAATACTTGTTGCCAAGGAGAAAGGATATTGAGAGGCCTATGAGGTTAGGCTGTTAGTGGATTAGTGTAGGGGATTGTGAATGTGGGAGCGGTTGAGAGGGACCATTAGGAGATGTGAGAGAGAGAGAGATACTAGTGAGATAGAGTAGTCCGATAGGAGTACGTGAGGTAGATGAGATAGAGAGATATAAGTGAAAAGGGAGTGGTTTGGGAGTGGTCATTGCGAGAGATGAGAGAGATATATACTAGTGAGAGGGAGTAGTCCGAGAGGGACACTTGAGAGAGATAAGAATGAGAGATACACCGTGAGAGGAATGAAGTGTGTGTGTGTGTTATAGGATAGGGTTGATGACTATGCTTAAAAGTATGTTGATTATACATGCGTGTGGATATTAATATAAGCTAGTTTGTGTGTTTGTTGAACGGAATGC